ATTTTATCTGCTTGGATGGAGCAGGATATAAATAGAAGTACACAGTAGTTTATTTTTGCCTGTAGGTTTTTTTTTGTGACATTTGCAGCTCTCTCTCAAATCAGGAAGTGGGGCCTTCAATGTTCAGTGGGGCTTAGTCTTATAGGTATGCACCAGATTGTAGTATTAAGAGATTTAACTAGTCAATCTTTTCTACTCCATACATGCCTTGATAGAAATGGTTTATTTTTCAAACTTTTTGAATTAAAAACATTAATTTCTTCAGGATGATGATGACTGCCTTGATTCTTAAAAAAAAGTAAGCAGAGTTCCAGTTTTCAGTTACATTTTTCTTTGCTTTCCACAGCTACTCTGAGAGCTAGGGAATCTCTTGAAAGGGAGGGGGATTAATTAGAAATCAAAGGTTGACACATCCTGCACAGGTGTAAGTGCTTTTGTTTTCTCTGGGGTACCAATGGATCCCACCAATGGATATTTAACACAAATAATAAAATCCTGCTTTGTTAAGTACAGTGTTCTAGTTTTCCTCTCTCTCTCCCCCCTTTTCCAAACTGGCAGAAATGAAGATATGCTTATATACCTCGGTACAGAACCATTTTTAACACTAGGTATATTTGTTGTTATTACTTGCTCAAAATGAATGGCATTTATGCTTTTAAATTTAAAGTCCCAAGCACTACAATTTTAAGTGCTAAGTTTTACAAAAGAAAGTGCTACGTTTTACAAAATTTTACATTCTTGAAGTAAGTTAAGGAAGTAAAGTTTTTAATGCTTGTTTGTTAACTTATCTAGTCATTTACAGCAGGTAACTATATTAAAATCTATTTTTCAGCAGAACAGTTAAAAGGTCATTGTCCATACTGCTGATGGAAGGAGCGATCCTATGGCCCCTAGACATTATCTGAGGGTATTATATGATATTTATTTATTTATTTATTTAGCACACTTATATGCTGCCCCATTCGCCAGAGCCTTGGGGCGGCTTACAAACATAAATAAATACATAACATTAATGCCATTATATAAAGTCGGAGACACCCTGGCCAAAATTGTTAAAATGAATAAATAAAATCAACAATTAAAATGACATTTAAATAAAAAGGTCTTGGCCTGGTGCCAAAAAGCAAATAATGATGGCGCCAGGTGGACCTCTCTGGGGAGGTAGTAGAGATTCCCTATCTGGGGATAGTGGAGTTTCTTACCCACCCAAGTTTTGTGACAGCATGCCATCCTTGGAAAGGGAGCATAGGAATCAGCTTCCCCTGTCAGAGCGAGCATGAATTTTGCTAGCTGGCCTGTGAGGTCAGAAAACTAATCAATCAATCTAGAAAAAAGTGAGAAGACAGGACAATGGAGAAGCCAAAATATAAGCTATCCTGCAGTCGCCTTCCCTTCCCTTCTGAAATACTGTTGTTGTTATTGTTGTTAAATTTCTATAACACTCATAGCTGAAGCTCTCTGGGTGGTTCACAACATTTTAAGTCACCCTTCCAGATTTCAACCAGCCTGGACTTGCTTAGCTTCCAAGATTGGGGAGGATCAGGCACTTCAGGCTGTTCTAGATGGGCAAAAATTTTGCAAACATATGGAACAGTCAGAGAACAGGGTTTCAAAATTTGCATTTGTTCTCTCACCCTGTTGGCTTCAGCTTGGCATGGCTTTGAATGTGGAAGCCTCCAAGTTTGGAGGCTTCCATTTTGCAAGGGCACACAACTTGTAGAACTGTGCAGTACAGCTAAAACAATGTTACTTTGCTTCCAGAACATACTGATATTTGGACTTTTAATTACTGCTGGAAGAAGTGAATTCTAGAGGTGAAGAGCAGCAATTAGAGCTGGATCTTTGTTGTGGGATCCATGTACTGCTAGCACGTCACTTTAAGGTGATATGAGCTTTCCCATGAATTTGGTGGAGAAACAAAACAATTTTCTATAGGGAAGCTTCACTTCATACTCTGCCAAGGATGAATGAACCCGCTGTGAAATGATAATTTGAGCACTTGTTGCAATATCCAAGTATATAATTCATTTTTCAACTCTAAACTCTAATTTAATTAAAAATGTGCTAGCTTTTATTAACCACATGCCACATCACACATTCATACTTTCCTTTCTCTCTTATCCTCATAGTCTGTTGCACCCATCTCACACTGTTAAGGAACCCTCTTCGTATCCCTGCAGAGACTTTCAGGGCTCATCTGAAAGGGAAATTTTCCTTTCATAAGCTTTCTTATATTTATTTTAGGATCCAAGCCAATATATTTGTGGTCAAGAGAAGAAAGAGCTTATATCAGGATTAAAACTGTGCTTCAGTGTTAACTATAGAAGAACCAAGACACAACTAGTAAAAACTCACAGCGGGCTAATACAGATTTGTTACTTTTACAGAACTGACCTGACTTTAATCTTCTGACTGTTTCAGTTACACACAAACTTGCACCCTCAAAGTTTAAGTATTCAGTACTTTGGGGGAGTAATTTCAATTAGCAACAAAACTACATTGCAACTTAGACTCTGAAAAAAATACAGCCAATAACATGGGGCTGCACTTTATATGGGAAGTAGTTACAGCCTCATTGGAAAACTCAATTCTCTCTTTGTCTCTTTGGAATAGGAGGGAGAACCCATTCAGGCTTAAAAAGTGCAGTAGTAGGCCAGTTGTCCTTCTGAGACTTTATAGATCAAGGTATTTGTAGCAACTTTATTACAGCATTCAAGTACAATAATACATGTTAATTATTGAATAACGTCACCCCACCTTAGGTCTGGTGATAGAGCCAGCTGCTTACATCCATCTTCTCACAGCAATGTTCCTAAGAAGAGTCTTGAGAGGGTGTGCCAAGCCAGCAAACTTACCAAGTTTACCTGTGCTCAAAGTATTGTTCAAACTGTTCTGGTACTCTGACAATGCATCACAATCAGATATTCCCCTTCTTTAAGAAGTCCTGGCTTGCTTACCAGCTTGGATTTTATTGACTTGCCATAGATGCATTGAAATAGGTAGAAATGTTTCACTGGGTTTAAATAAAATCTTCATTGTATCAAAAATGTTTGTTTTGTGCAGGAATTACAATTTGAGAGACTTTATGGAGCCATTTGAATTGTATATTACTCTGTGTATATTGTGTATTGCTCTGTGTATCCATTTAAATTACTTGGTTTCTCAGGTATCAGTTGTGCAGCTGAATGTCTGAAATTGTTTTGTTAACACTTTGTATCTAAAAGTTTGGTCTATTTTTATTCTTTGATGGTTCATTCATTAGTGCAAGTTGCCACCTCATGCATGGTCATAGTTAGTATGCATGAACCAATTCTATAATGTACTAAAAAATGAGGTAAAAACATTATTTTCACAAGTGTTAGAGTCTTGCATGAGACAGTTAAGCCCAAATCAGAAAAGGCTGCTCTTGTGCATGATCTCTTTTGTTCCTAACTAAAGACAGTTGTATGTACCGTTGCTTTGCGTATAGTTTCTTTCACTAGAGCTCGAAAATCCCATGTTCTCACATATCCTGGCAATTACTTGTGCATGTCTGCACAAGACTGATTAAGTAGCTGTTTTCTTCCATTAATGGTCATTTGATTCTAGCCCTTGTTTGAAACTCTAGGCAGAAACAGAATAGTTCTTAAGCTATAAAGGGTTGCAAGAGGTAGAATAGAAAAGGGCATTGCTCAGAACTACAAAGAATGTGTGGATAAAATTTCTGCATATTATTTTGAGTCAGTGTTATAAGTTTCCAGAATATATAGAACTGGATTTTTTTCCAGAAAAAAATTCTAATGTTCTAAATAACATCTGATTTAGGATGATTTTACTATCTGACACACATTCCCCTTGGATTGCACATGAAATATCACAAATTTAGTAAACCAAACTAAAAATTTAATGCATGTCAATTTTATGTGCAGTATAAATATATCAAAAGTATTCCTGATAGTTACACAAATATTAAGTGAACTATTTGCTTAAGGGGAAATTAACTTAATGAAACAATATAGTTTACATGTTCTAGTCACAGATTCAAATCTTTATGTGGAAATTATTTTATTGGAATATAAACTATATAAAGACTATCATGTATTACTTTGTTTATATTTAACAAAAATCAGTGTACACCTGGACACTGTTTTTAGGACATATGAGAGCTGATAACATGTAACTGTAGCACTTTGTCAGATCAGATACTGATCTGATCCATTTCAAGTTTCATTTTTGTTTAAAACATTTTTATGTTGAAAAAACCTGATTCAGAACAACTGGTTGAACATTCTCTTTCACCAAAGAATGGATGTAGATCTGTGGACACAGACTGTGAGGAACTTTGGAGGGAGGGTGCTGTTGCACTCATGTTTGTGCTTGAGGTAATGCATGGACAACTCTGGCCACTATGTGAACAGAATGCTGGATTGTTGGTCTGATCCAGCACAGGTGAAATAAACCGTAGGCACAATCTTAGTTTTTGTTTTCATTTGTTAATGAAGGGTGTTAGCGATAGAAAGCAACTACATCATGTATAGGTCTGGTCCAGACCTAGCCAGGAGGCAACTGTATTGTGAACAGAAAAGTATTGTCATACCTATTTTTTCAGTATCCCCATGGGCATCTGAAGACTAGGGGTTGTCAATGCTTGCCTTAGAAGAATAACTCACAGAAGTTCATTTCCTATATTTGGTCCATCTAATGTGATGCATTCCAGTACTACAACTGAGACAGAGATGGGTAAATACACATATGCATGATGTGAAAAATCTTTTGCATAAAACTATAGCATCAGAAAATGTTCTGCCTAAAGTCACTCTTTTGGAGAGGTGTTGGAAGTGTAGTCAATCATAGAAGTGTATGGTATGGTTCCCCGCCCCCCAGGTGTTTTGTTGACATATAAGTCTCAGTGATACTTTTTTAAAAATGGTGGAAATAGTTTCAAAATACTAAAAGTTAATTTTTACTTAGGGTGCTATTTTCTATCTGGAAATTATAAAAAATATTTTATTGTTTTTCAGGTGTTGGAAAATCATGTTTATTGTTGCAGTTTACAGATAAAAGGTTTCAACCAGTGCATGACCTTACTATAGGTAAGTCTTACAAGTAGGTGAATGACTATGGTCATGACAACTGCATGTGTTGGGGAAGTAATGGATTTATGCATGTTCAACTATTATTACAACATCACATTTATATCCCACTTGCTTTTCTCTTGTGTGGAACTGAAGGTGGTTTACATAGCTCTATTTTATCCTCAAAAGAACAACCCTATAACATAGTTTGGGCTGCACATCTGTGACTGGCACGGAGTCACATAGTTAGCTGAATAAGGAGTAGAACCTGAATCTCCCAAGATCCCTGTTCAACATTCTAACCACCATATCAGCCCTCCCACCTACCAGACATCTATAAATTTATAGTTGCACAGGATAATAGTCTGCTTGATTAAAAAGTTAAATAAATCAGGTTCACATCATGTATAATTTGGTGGCATTTTATTCTATTACAGAATAATTCTACCATATTTATAGATAGTGGCAGTATTCTTACAGAATAAACTGACTGAAAAAAAGCTGTGTGTTGGTTCACATGTCCAGTGTGCCTCCTCTTCCCCGGCCTTCCTCAAAATAACTGCAAAACAAGCTGGGTTTGCTTTGTGTGTGATCTGAAATAGGGATTATGGATTCAAGCCAAGGTTTGTAAACAAAGAAACAGCCCTGGTTTGCTATCCTAGTTTGTAAAGGGAGGGACTAACAAGAAGCTCTGGTTTAGATGACACTAAATCAGGCATAAGAACCCTTTTTTTAGGCCAAAGGTTAAATTTCATTTTGAAGAAGTTGTTGTGGAAACAGTGGGGCCAAAAACTGTACCCATTCCATTGCTGCCAGCATATAGCAGATTATATGTCTACTCATAATTAAGTTACAAACAGCATGTCAGTTTTCAAATAAGCATGACAGGCCTTTGCATAGCCATTCAGAAGGAAGCAGATCTAAATCACTTGGAGGCACTTTCAAATAGAATTCCAAGTAACATGTTGCTGCATAACTGCTCAGAAGTAATACTGAGTAACATATATACACATAAGTAGGAAGGAAGCAATCATTCAGCAGCACTTTCAAATAGCATTCCAAAAACTAAGCCTCTGCATGTCTACTTAGCAATAGGCATGAGTATCATGAACATCAGTTCTCACAACTAGGCAGTGCAAGCATCTATAAAACAAGACTCTGAAGGAATCAGAACTGAATAACTCGGCTTCAGGTTCTTCCCTAGCTTATCTGATCAAAGATTAGGGCTTTTTGATTTTCACAGAGGGAGTAGAGCCAGGGGAAGAAGTTGCAAGGCCAAATGAGGAATGGTCTACAGGCTGGAGCTTTCTTTCCCTGTATGAAATAAACATGCCTTGCTTATTTAGCTATTACATTAGCAGAGAAGAACAAAGGATCAGATGGCTAGTCTGAATCAGAATATACCTTGCTCACTATAAGCAAGGATTCTAAAGAATTCTGACTTACCATTCTGTGTAAATGCGTACTCTATGTTGCCTGGCCAAATTCGTATGAGTTTCATTAAATAGGAGGAATTGTCAGTTTCTAAAACATTCTATCTTGAGTATTAGGTACTGCCTTAGGGCAGGGGTGCAGGACCTCTGGCCCATGGGGCACCATAATCCAGCCCCTAGAATCCTGTAAGAGTTAGGGCAGGGGCCCTCAAACTTTTTCAACAGGGGGCCTGTTGAAAGGTGGCGGCGATGGGTGTGCTCGTGCAGGAAAGGCGTGTGCAATTTATTTATTTATTTTTGCAGCCATCTCCCCCCCCAGCACGACCACAGTCGTGCTGTCTTCCCTGCAGAGCATGACCTTGATCGCAGCCATCTCCCTTCCCTTCCCAACACGATCGTGCAGGGAAGACAGGCGCAATTGTGGGTGTGCTCATGCAGGGAAGGTGGGCACGATCGCGGCCACCCTCCCCCCCCCAGCATGACCACAATTGCACCCGTCTTCCCTGCACGAGCATGCCTGCAATCACGGCCATTTCCCCACTGAGTACTCCTACGCTGGCTCAGAGCTTTTGGACTCGCTTGGAGATCGTTTTCTCCGAGCTAGTCCAAAAGCTCTGAGGCGGGCCAGATTCGGCCCGCGGGCCTTAGTTTGAGGAACCATGGGTTAGGGGTTAGGTTCCAAGCCCTGCTTCTTTAGGATATCCCATCAGAGAGTAATCCTGCTGCTATCTCTGATCACAGCTTGCCACCCATAAACCTTAAGGTTTGGTTAAACCTTCTAAGCCTAAATAATTATGTAAAGGAGTGTTATTATTTTAATTCGGTCTAATGCTGTGAAATATGTATCACTTCCTTTTAATGCTCTCAGATCACAAGAAGCAGGACATTGCTATATTGCTCAATAGCCAAAGCTCTCCTTTTAAAAATGCATTGGATTATATTGTACACTTCTATATATTGCCTGATTAAAGATACATAAGTTGAATTTTCTTATACATTGCAACATTAGGTACAGCATGTAAAAAACCCCTTATTTTCCTTAGTTCACTTCAGATACAAGCAATCTTGCTTTTGCATCTCAGTGCTAGAAACTAATATATGAATACATGGTACAGTATAAAACTATAAAACACTGTTCAGCTTTCAGTAAGTGGTAAAGAAAAAAAGCAGAGTAACGTTGCTATCTACTATAGCAAAGGCTGGAACTTGTCCTGATTTCTTTTAATAGTATATTTCATAGTTGTGTCTGAATTCAGTTATAACATTTAATTCTGTTACTCAGGTGTAGAATTTGGTGCTCGAATGATAACCATTGATGGGAAACAGATAAAACTTCAGATATGGGATACAGTAAGTATAGTAAAATAAAATTCTGGTTAACTTTTATTTGAGATAAATATATACATAAGCAGAGTATAGCTGCATTCACATGTTGTGGAAGTCAAAATTGCTGGGAATATGGCTTTCAATGAATAAGCAAGTATCCTGGTACAGGGTGCTTGATTGTTCCTGCCAGCCAAACCGGGGTCTCTGCCTTCTTCTTGTCCTCTAACAAGCCAGAATAAAATGCTCTAGTTCATTCTTGAACAGTTATTCTGGTTTTTAGAAGAACTTGCCAGAGTTCCAGATGTAGTTGAAATGTAAACAAGATACAAATGGAGGTTTTCTGATTTGTTTAACTGCTTCTACTTGTAGGAGGTAAAAGTGATCAGGTAACATGATTTTTTACAGTACCTTATGCATGATAAACCAGAATATTCATTAATTTTGGAACTGGGCTTATGTTTCATAGGGCAAGAGTGAGGACCTACCTCTTCACCATTTACAGTAGAAAATTGAAGAAATCATATAATCAACTTCCTTTATAATGAATGCATTAAATGAAAATGTTTCAACTGAAAAAAGCAGGGCAGAGATTTGTGTAAAGTATCAACTGAGGCAATTTATTTGTGAACATAGGGCTGGCTCCAAAACTTGCACAATGGGACTCCCCTGCCCCCCCCCCCCGCCATACATGCACCATCTGCTTTGGAAGGTTAGGAAATGGGGAGGTATGGGGGAAGGGAAAATCCATTTATGTTTATATTGAACTGAACAACACATGAGTCACATGAGCTCTTCACAGTCATTTTTTCAGATTTCAGCTGCTGATTGTGCCATAGGAATGGCAAAAAAATGTGATTTTGAAAGCAAGCTAGCTTATTTCCTTGCAAAACTGCCAGGGTTTTTTTGCTGCCACTGTGGCAAATTTAGTGGTAATCATGGCAACAGCAATGGATTGTAGTACTGGAGGTTTCCAGAAAGAACAATGTTGACCCATAATCCATGAAATAGCCATTCCTACTTTACATGACTGGAATAACTGCTAGCTGTTTCAAACTTTATTATGTCTTTTTTCTGAAATGACTGTGCCTATGTGGACTTGCAATTCAGGCTTATTTTGAATTGTTCACAAATAACTTAAACAACAGAAAACCTGCCAGTACTAGGCTCTGAAAAAAAACAACAACTATGCTACTGTTTGTTTATCCTGGAATTAAAAGAGTGATGAGGTGACCTTCCATTGTTTTTTCCTGTCATGTAATTCGGTATCTGAACACATTAAGTATGAATTAGATTCAGTTACTGAAATAAAGCAACGTAATACATGAGATTTATCCCAACCCATCCATGAGATGGCTACATGAGGTGATGGAGCTGGATGAGTAATAATTGTACCACCTGCCAGCCCAGAGATCCCACCAGGAGCTCCAGAGGGTCCTCTTGGGAATCCCGCCAACTGTTTATTTACTGTGACATTGCTGCAATGAAAATGTAGCCATTAGGGCTGTTTGAAGCCACGGGTCCTCTGTTACTTAAGGATCTCTGTGCATGGCTGATAACTTGTGATACCTAAGCCATACTTACATAATGGTAAATACGAGTAGAACCTAAAACATAATATTGCCAGATAGTCACCCACAGGAGCATTCTTGTTCAAGGCTGCAGTCAGTTAGAAATGGAAGCTTGTAGGCTAAGTGGAGGGAAGAGAAAAGGAGAGTTTTCAACCTTCTGTCCTCGGCTTTAGACCCAGGTGGAATAATGATTTAGCCTTCCCAACATTTAATTTCTTTAAATCACCCTTTTGGAGTATAAGTATGGAAGCTTAGATATTCTTGATATCATTGGTCACATCAATGTACTTTTGCATAGGTCAAGTTCCCTCAGAATGCATGAACAACTATAATGATTTGGGGCATGCTTACTTTGCTTTCAGACTAACAGACACTAAGTCACCTGAAGCAATGATTCTGTGTTCTTTTTCTTAAGAAAGAAGCTAGCTGTAGTTTCTTCAAGCAACCTGCACCAGCTTCCATTGTTTCCTGATATATTAATTAGTATTTCCTTGTTCTGTGGTTCATATTTTTCTGCATACTGTAATTTTTCATATTCTTGTGCATATCCCACAGATGAAAATTTCTGTATATTGCAGAGTTTCTTACATGTTTTTTCCATGATCATTTCTTTTGGTCATCTGTGTGATGAATATGATGACAGTCAAGATAATTATTTCCTCCTTGCCCCTTATTCACTCACTTTTTAGTCATGCAAAGCCTTGCACTGCACTGCTGCACAGATGCAACTTATGCTGTAAGCCTATGCATATTTTCTCAAAATTAAGTCCACTGAGTTCAATTGTGCTGGGTGTAAATGGATATAAGATTGCAGCCTTAGCCACTTGCATCTCTTACTAAGATAATATCTTCGAGCACTGTAACTTCATTGGTGTGAAATGGTGACTGTGCCACTGCAACTCCAAGTAAAAATAATCTATTTACCTTGTCAGAGGATAAGGTTAGAACTGAATTTGAGAACTATAAAAAAAGTATTGGTACTGGTGATGCTTGATTTAATGCCTCAACAGAATCTGTAATTTAATGGAACAGTTTATGAGTTAAACACTACTTCTGAGCTAGTTTCTCACCATTGTTTTCAGTACTAGAGTAGAAGAAGAATCACCCAGGATATTTGAAAAGAAAGAGCTGAGGGATACCTGAGGTGGTACCTCAGAGGAAACTGCCTTATATTGAGTCAGAGTATATTTGAATATCTTGCCAAGTATTGTCTGCTCTGACTGGCAGTAGCTTTCCAGGTTCTCATACAGACTGGGCTTTTTAGATCATCGGCTTTCAGATGTTTTAAGTAGAGACGCCACAGTTTCTGCATGCAAAGTATGCCCTCAACCACTTACCTGTATTCCATCCTATACCTTTTAACTAAGTGTCTCTTTTCAAGCAGATTTTGTTTTACTTTTCTTGGGTGGTGGCCAAAAAAAATGTCCTCTGGGGAAAATTAAAAAAAAAAAATACCCGCTGAGTATTCTTAGATTTTTTTTTTTTCTATGCCTTCACATCTCTCTGCTGGTGTTGTCTCTGAACAGACATTGACAAAGGAGAAGTAGCTCTAGGATCAGATGTTGTTTGCAATTGACCTGCTATTGCTTAGAAGCTAGTTATTTTTATAAATCTCCCATAATTGTTGATGCTATCAGCTTTGCATACTTTTACAAAAGTCCTTGAAATGTAGTTAATAAATTTGGTTTATGTCCAGAGGCAGAAGTAAAATAAATGACTTTCTAGTGTGTAAATCTGTCTTTTAAGTCTTCCAAATATTTCCATTTAGAGTAAAAATAGTACAATTATATGCAATCTCTTTATGTCGAAAGTAGAGGTACCAACAGTAGAGATGTTAGAACCTTTCAAAATCATTGTGTTGAGTCACAAGCTTGCATATGCACTGTTCCCTTATGTTGTGGTGGAATATTCTAAACAGCAGAAGGTTATGTGCAGGTGTCAGCCATAGGTCTGTGGAGTAAAAGCACTGTCATCATTGACAATTCTTACTTACCCCTTAGCAAATACAAGGAGCTGTTGGGCGGAATGACTCCAGGGAGGGGATTGATACATTCCCACTTCTTTTTGTCTGCACCACCCCAGTATTTTCAAACCCACTTCCTCCTTTCCTGTGGTCACAATTCTGGTGAATATAATACTGTATATTAAAGATATACTATAATTTTATTTTTATAAGCATTTATGCAGGAATGAGTGATAAGCAATAAGTGATTTTCTTAATGTTTTTAAAGAGAACAAGACTGAATATTTCTGAAAATAAACTATAGATAAAATCAAAGTGTTTAGTTTTTCATATTTTTAAGTTAAGGCTCTAAGCATCTTCATTACTTTCATAACTACTAAATGACCACTAATACCTTTTCGTCATGCTACGTAATATAAAGAACTAGTAATTGCCAAGGACCTCATACATGCAGTGTCATGTAGCTTAGTTAAGCAGTCAACCTTCTCAAGAAAAAAAATGTGAGAGGAAATCATGTCTCTGTGCATATGTGCATGCTTATTATATGTACATATGTAAGCATTTTCAAAAGCTAAAACTTGAGCTTTTGGTAGAGTGAATTTTGTTCTTGTTTTCTATTAATCACTGAAGCATTCTGGGGTAGGAAATAAATATTTCACATTTGATAATACTGTGTTCAAAGCACAGTGATTTGGCAAAGTATTAAAAGAGATTAAATCGACTTTTAAAATTTTGATGGAAATACTCATTTGGATCTCTGGATCATATCTCTTTCAGAATGTTAATATGTAATTTTAAATTCAAGACGTTCTCCAAAAAAAAGCAGAACAGTTGTTTTTATACGATCTCTGGTTTTTCAGTTGTAACACTTTTTTACATCTTTTTGACAAGCATTTTATCTGAAGCACAAGAAATTGATTAAATGCATGAAAAACTTATACAAAAATTAAAGCCGTTCTTTTTCATAATAAAATAATTGTTGAAAGAATTCTATCTGAAGACTGTTGAAAGATGGCTTCAGTTTATGATATAACGGATAAAATCTTCATCCTTGGCCTTCCTACAACCTTTACACCAGCAGATGGTGGGCGTAAAGATGTCATTCATCATTTATTTACAATGGGCTTTATTTATTCTAGTGTCAACAGCTGCCCCGGGGAGGGAGTTATTGAATTCAAATGTGAAGCACTGGGCTATTTGCTTCCTTTCAAATTTGTCTTCAGAGCTTAGTTGCTAGGAGTCCATTCTGTACTCTAATAATGATTCATGTATTGTGAAGCCATTCAGCAAATTGGGTTGTCAGGGATTGCCAAAAAAAGGTTTAGAGGTCTTGTTCTTGATTTTTTCCCCTAATGGTGCTGTGCTTTAGACTTTTTAATATGTGGCTCATCTTTTCCAGAAATAGTCTCGCCTCCCTTTTCTAACCCCTATACAATAAACTCTTCAGTGTAAGTAAGGAAGACTGTTTCTTTTTTGACATGAAAACACAGGATTTAAAATGAACTATGAATTTTGTTTACTACAGGCTGGACAAGAATCCTTCCGTTCCATCACAAGGTCATACTACAGAGGAGCAGCAGGGGCTTTACTAGTGTATGACATTACAAGGTGAAAATCTTTCAGCTAATGTTCAGCATATTTTAGACTCTTGTAAATAACCTTTTTGCGGTCAGATTTCTTGACACGCCAAAATATGAGAACGCATGGTCCTTAACTGGAGTAAGTTAGGGAAGAAAGCTAAAGGGGTTTCTGCTGTACCATTTCATATCAGTAGCCCATAAGCAAATACTAGCTGCTTTGGAGTGGAAAACAGAAAAGAAAAAAATTTAAAATGGACTCAGTTTAGAAGTTTAAGGTTAACGACAGAGCCAAGATCTGAAATAGCTCAAGACCAGTGGCTTAATGCATGAAATATATTGGGTTTGATCTAAACTTAGTCATGCTTGCACTGGATCTATTTGAAATTCATGGAGCATAAATTAGTCATGACTAAGTTTTACAGAGTTCACTGGATCTACTCCAAGCATTACTTAGGATCATGGGTATCTGTGCATATCAGAAGGAGAAGCAGAGGCAATCCTCACCTTCCTCCTCCCCCATTCTCCATCTCTGCAAGAAAATCATTTTCAGCTGACTAGTTGGAATGCTTTGGAGCAAGAGGGAAAGAGGCTGGAGTGCCATCAGAATACATTATATCCTGGACATTCAGATGTCCCTTCCCTTCCCGCCTCCTGAAATACTTCTTTAAGCCCATTCTGAGGTCACTTTCTTGACTTTGGAGTTAGAGTGCAGTCTCCAGCCTTGGAATTGAGAATCCAAATAATCTTATGGGTCCCCAGACTTAGGGTGCCTTTTCTATAAATCACCTGGAATTATTAGCAATTAATTGGGGTATCAAACTTTAAATAAAAAACTTATCACTTAAAAAACATTTTTAGTTGTTGGTGCATAGGCTCTCATGTTTTGGTTCCTTTTCAGGAGGGATACTTTCAACCATTTGACAACATGGTTAGAAGATGCTCGTCAACATTCCAATTCTAATATGGTCATTATGCTCATTGGAAATAAAAGGTAAAACAAAACTTTCCAAAGTAGTATAAGTTAACAGTACTTCATTTGAATAAATACTGATTTTCATTTGAGATGCTTAAGACACAAAAATGAAATGGTCAACTTCTTGTGTTAATAAAAAGTTTTGTTTTAGTTTTAAATGCCATTGAAAGGTTTATGGATATGCATTCTCTTACTGTGTACTTTGCTAGCCTCTAGTTTATGTACTAGTTAAAATCATCACCTTCTTTTAAAGTTAATCCTTTTCTTCTTTAAACTGTTGTTTTCAGGATGATCACAGTGGAATTCCCACTGCATTTGGAGACTTGTATAATGCATTTGGTTTGCTTACTGCAATTGTTAACATAACCCCCCTTGGTCGTTGCATTTCAAGTACAGGTTCATGGGGTTGTTGTCATTGGGGGGAATATTTTGTTTAAAAAATCTTGTGATATACCTTATATATATCACATGCTCACCTTTTCAGTTATCCAATCAAAGATGAAACATTAACACACTTTTTCAGATATCTTCCAAGCCTAGTAGTTCACATAGAGTGAACTTGGAACCACTGACTTTAGGGCTCCCATTAAGTTTCTAAAACTGCATGTTGGCAACAATCTGAGAAGGGATATTTTGCTGGTTAAAATGGGGGAAAGTTTAATCCAAAATTAAGATAAAATCCCATTTTTTACCAAAGACAGCTTTCTAGATGCTCCTGATGTGGAAGCGTTCTACACAACAGAGTCACATGGTAAACTATTTTTGTTCATCACTGTAGCCCCATGTGAAGTCAAGCAGAAGTAATCATTGGCCAAATCATATGTCCTATGTAACTTCTGAAGTGACCCTTGAGTTTAGGAAGGACTTGATAAGGGACTGATCAGCGCATAGTCAAATGATACCATAATAAAATCCATTTAAAATATCCACATTCTGGTTTTGCTCTTGTATCCAAAGATGGATGAACTGCTTTAAAAATGTTATTTTACAAAATGATCCTTATGGATGCATATGTGGAGAAGTATAGTTAGGAAATCTGACAGCATAACCTTCTCATATTACATTGGCAATAAATAGAGACCTACACAGTTTTAGGAAGCAACTCTGCTAGGTGCTGGTGGTTCACTGTTTCTTAATAAGGCTCAATACTGGCCTTCAGCAGATGTGGTTTTGCTTACCATCTGACATTATTTTATCTACAGGGGTATACTTAGGCAAGCAAGCCTGCTTTTGTATAGCAAATAACTCTTGTTTGGCTATCTTAGCGATCTAGAGTCTAGAAGAGAAGTGAAAAAAGAAGAAGGTGAAGCATTTGCACGAGAGCATGGGCTTATCTTCATGGAGACCTCTGCCAAAACTGCCTCAAATGTTGAAGAGGTAATTTGATATAATTTCTCATTACTGTATTACTTACTGATAATGACTTTATTGTTATGTGTCATCACATCATCTCTGACTTAGGGTGACACTATGAATGACTACCCTCCAAAATGTCCTGCCTCAGTTGCTTTAAACTCAAGGCTGGGGCTTCCTTCATGGAATCGAACCATCTCATATTTGGTTTTCTTTTTCTTCTACCTTTGACTTTTTCCTAGCATGATTGTTTTCTGTAGTGAGCCTTGGTTTCTCATGATGTGCCTGAAGAACAAAAGCCTCAGTTTCATCTGTTTTGCTTCCAGAGCAGATTCTGGCTTGATTTGAACTGGAACCCATTTGTTGTCCTTCTTTAAGTCCAGGTTGTTCATAAAGTTCTTTTCCAGCACCTCGTTTTGAAAGCATCCATTTTCTTCCTGTCAGCTTTCTTCACCATCCAGCTTTCACACCCATAATGATTGGGAATACAATAATGTGTAGGTTGTTGGTCGTCTTCTCCAATGAGATGCTCTACCACATGATGAAGTGTGAAGTTAGGTGTAGAAATACACCTTTGAGATCCAAGCAAAATATCAAAGTAAAATCCCCAAACTTACCTGAATCCAATCAATGATGATTAGATGAAATCTACCTCTTCTGCTGCAGAGGATTGGAGAAGCCTTTTGAGCCAGTTTTAGAACAAATGAGGGGCAAAGAGAGGAGGGTAAATTTTGTTGAACAAAATTTCAATGTTGGTTTTCACCCATTGGATCTCAGTGTTGTGTGAGTTAACTTATACCATGACATTTTGTAACTTTCTGTAGCTTTTTGTTTGTATTCTACAGATTTTTATTTCATTTGTCAAACTAAAGCTGCAATCCTATGTTCATTTTCCTAGGAATAATTCTCATTGAATACAATGGTAATGTCTTCTGAATAGACATTTGCCGAATTGTGGATTCTGGAAAGGGAATATGTCTTTACTATTTCAGAGCAGAAAAACAACTTGATAAATCTGAAAAATAAATGGTTCTTTAAAAAAATCAGTACCGAATCTTGCAAAATAGATTTGATAATCCCTTAGATCACTTTCTCAGAGGAAATAGAATAAATGCTATTGCTTGAATAATAAATGAGGCCAGCAAAAAACAGGTAGAGATAATGATGGTAGTCATGGCTCATACGGGAAGCTGCTTCCAAGGAAAAAGTACTAAATCAGTAATACTGAACTCAGATGGATGATAAAACAAAAGTCTATTAAAAGAAGAAACAAGGGGCCACATCTACCATGTTAATAAGACATTTTGCTTCAATTAGATGTTAAAGCATATTCAAAATGTGGAGTTTTTCCTGATACTACTTCTTCTTGTAACAGTAGAATTAAGGGAAGAAATGATTGAAAGCATGTGTCATCAGCTGAGTTTCCTTCCTTCACACATTCAAAGCCATAGACCTTTCTTTGCAAAAAGTTCTTTATTCTCCAAAGTGATTTCTAGAAGCACAGTCATCCAGAATGGATCTCTGAGCATGCACAGAGCAGTTCATTGAAACCAATCTGTTATTTATTTCTAGGAACTCTACTTTTGAGCATGTTTGGACCCAGTCCTTATAGAAGAAGCAGAGAGGAGTGCACCTCCTCTCTGCTTGCCAATTCTCTAGTTGAGCAACCCTCCTATCCCAATGGTGCCATGGGGTCAAGAGCTGTACCTCCTTTGTTTGTCTTTGAGAAACTCCCTTGCTCCAAGGCCCCTCCAGATAACTGTACATCTTGTTTTTTCTCAGAGGCTGCCTGAACACCCAGGGAGTCTGACCTTCTTTCATCTCAGTGTATGGAATTGGCCCACATACCAAGCCCCCACCCACCAACTCCTCCAAGTACTGATCAGTGTCAAGAGCAACCATGTGTCTCAATCCCAATATCATAAACCAGAGTAGAAAGATGGCAGTAAATAGTCCTATGTGAGCATTTAGCATGTGCTTTGGAGGACTGAAAGGGTTGGGGGAGCACCCATCCTCAGTGACCCCAGCTATCCTAAAGAATTTTCTGTATTTAGCATTAAGATCTGTGGGGACAGGCCTTTTAACAGCATTTGGCTGAGCATGTTTACATGGCTTCCAGCAATTGGAAAGTCTGCCTTCCTAAGGTGGGTTTTCAATTGCAAGGAGGTTTGGAAACATGCTCGGCTAGATGAACATGTAACCCCTCTGCATACCTTCATGCTTAATATGGGGGTCCAGATTCATGGTGATATGGGCATACTTGTGCATGTGTCCACTACACTTCATATGCAGGATGAACAATTGCATAAGGCTTGTGAGAAAAAGGGATCAGTAAGATCAAAGAGTAGAAGGGAAAGGATAAGTAAATGTTGATGTTTATCTTAGGTATGAACCTTTATCAAGTGAATACTTGTGAGGATTATGCTTTATCATCTGTGGTTCTGGTCTGGGTAGATTGTAAATTTAGTATATTTTACTTCATGTGCTGTTTTTGATATAGCTGAGGATATAAAAAGATTTTTGCTGGTCTCTGCAAATTAGTAGGTTATAGCAGCAGATGAATTTGGGGGAATATATGGGGAAGACTTACCGAGTGCTCCTTTTCTCAAGAATGAATGTCAGAGTTCTTCTCTCATGTTTTGACGATGAATATTTCATGGTATATACAAATTTAGTAAAAGTTCAAGCAGATAGTATGGTGCTTTCTGGCAAGCTTGAGGCCTAAAATCTCATACTGGGGAGTAGGATGAGGCAAATGACTTTCAGAGAACCACTTTCCCCTCCAAGGTTAACACAGTCGCTTGAAATCTGAGTTAACTGAGCCACATCTCTTTCCCCATCACGGTAAAGCAGAAATTCTATGTACCTTCCATTAACCATGGAGCTAGGTCCTGTGTAAATATTTAAAGCTCGGGTTCCACTGGGTAAAAAGATGAACCAATTTTCTGGTCTTCCATCTACCTCTGTTCAGCAAATATAATATTGCTTGGCTATAATATTACTTAAAGCAGGAAGACAGAGAGGCAGTGCATGGGTACTTAATTGTTCATCAGTGATCAATAGCAACAACAATTTGCAATAATAGAACCGCTGCATATCAACAATACTCATATAAAATGAGATGTAATGCTAGCTGTAGCATGCTGAACTCTATTTTGACTTATCTAAATGCTTTGTTTAAAAAAAAAAGTTCTCCAAATTTCCCCTACTTCTAGCTCTATTTCCTAGTCTTCTGTTATAGTATATTGCACTATGAAATGTCCCATGACTTGAGAACAGGTGGTCCCATCCAGATTATGTGTGGTTAAGATACTTTAATTTTATTATTTATCCTCTGATGTCAGAAAGAGAATGGGTAATAGAAAATCTCTTTACTCTCTGCAATTCAAATAAGATGGAAGCCAATTTTATCCTTCAGTATGGTTAGTTCTAAAACTAGATTTGTTCTGCTTTCACACTGGTACTTAAATTGTTTTTTCCAAGGTGCTTTTCAACTTTAATGACTTAAATCTGCAAAGGAAGATAATATGGGGATGTAATTACCAGATAAGTGTGCTTGAAACTGAAAGTTGTTACTGACCACAAGATTCAGTTCTGACCCATTTCAGCACTTTGGATAGTTGCTTGATTCAAAGGCTATGTGCTTCAGTTCAGGAACAGAACCCAAGTCAGGTTTAGAAATCCAAGGCTTCATACTTCCCATTGACTATCATAAGACATTTTAAAAATGACTGTAATTTTTTCTCCTTGTCAAAATTTGCAGGCATATTAGTGCAATGGGATACAATATCACCTGCCAAATTTGTGAAAAACTGTGTACTATTTTCATGTTTTGATGAGGCTTTTTAAGGGATCTTTTTTATTTATTGGCAGACTGGAATGGCATTTTCAGGGACAGTTGCCTTTTCTGATGGGTTTAAGCCTACAGGAGCACCTTTTTCATTTTGAGTGTAACAGGATGTACTTATTCTCCCCGTGGTCCTTGTGGAGCATTGTTCTGAAAATGACAGACATTTGGGAGGTGGCACTAAGTAAAAAAAAAAAAAAGTCTGTAAAGTTCTCCCACTGTAAGGTATTTTCATTGTTCTACTCTGTATCTATGACCCATCCACCATTTGCCTCCATCCTCCATCTCTTTTGAAAAATGAACATTACTCCTTTTTTCCTTTTTGCACCTTTTCTTCCAACCCATTCTGTTATTTGCCTCTACAAATCTTCCTTTGAATCTCTACGCCTGTCCTATTTTTGTTTTCTTTCACCATATTCCTTTCTGTGATGAGTTTGCCACTGCTTTATTTCCCAATCCCTCCCACTGCCATTTACCTGTTGTCAGTAGAATTGGGCTGTATACTACAAGTACCTTGTTTAGCCCAGCAGCTTCTTCTGGCGTTTCCTAGTGCTATTGAACATAATAATCTTCACTAGGATTATCTGTCTTCTCCTTGTAATTTCAACTCTGTTCCTACATCTCTAGTCCCTCCTCCCTTTTTATGACCTTTAGGGCCTTAGCCTTTACTAAGTTAATATGTTAATTCTTTATATAGACTTTAGGACTTTTTATAAAAATCATTATATTACAGCAATGTAATACGTTGCATCATTCTCACAAACTCAGAACTCTTTTAAACTAGTAGTTAACATGCAGTTTTTAATTGATTAAAACATTTCAAAGCTATATTTCAGGTCAAGAAATCTCCCAAGGCATCTTAAAACAATAACATTCATATAATAGAAACTGCCAGTGTAATAAATCAGTAAGCATTAATAAAAGAACAAACATGAGAAACAAACATCTGGCCCAGATAGTACAAAGAACATACAACCCAGAACAGTCCAGTAGAACATTGTCAGGAGAAGGCCAGAGTAAACAAGTCTTCGGAGCTTTCCTAAAAGCATTGTTCTCTGATATTTAATTATAGACCCAAGGGTTGAAACTCACCAGCAACCATCTCTTGAGAGAATACTTAGAACCCTGTATGCAGTCTGCTCACAAAGCAAATAGTGGCATTCTTGAATTCTCTCCTTAAGCCCCACCATCAGGCAGGAATGGAAAGGAGCTATGTGACTAGAAGATGCTACATATTTTCTGCTTCACTTCTAAGAGTAGTTTAGCAATTTTGGCAGTAACCATAGTGTGGGACAAGAGGAGTCCCTGAATCTGATCTTCCCGAGGTGCCTTGCCCCAGTCTTAAACCTATTGCACAGTCTGAAGGCTCCTGAGAATGTTAGGCCAGATTTTTAACATTTGTAACCTTGCTTGAATCCTGTTAATCTTTTATGGTAAGTTGGTCCACATGTATCCTAAATTTCTGAAAGTCCTAAGCTCTTATATGTGTAACAGTGTTTAGTGAAATAGTTTTTTAAAATTAATTTTCCGTTTGACACTTTCTAGTATAATATTATAGATAATTGATCAGTATAGGTCTAATCTACAGTTATAAATTGCAACCACCAGGTGGCAGCATGTCATGTGAAAATGGAGAAATCTTTTCTAATATTATGAAAAGGGAAGGGTTTTTGTTTTTGCACTTTTTCTTGCAGTGTAGCAATGATATTCTGATGTTTCTCAAATATGTCATTTATTTATAAATGGCCTTATTATGCCTTGAAAGGTTATTTGCCAGCTGCAATAGTCCTATTGCCTATCTTTATAAATGTTAGAAAATGTTAAATATTTTCTTAATTCTTTCAGAGTTTTAAAAACTAACATATATTGACGTACTCCTGAACTTTGACTCCAAGAAAGATAATGAAACATATAAAACAACCATGTTTAGATAGGCTATTATGTGAGCGTGTCTACAGTTACTGAGAGAAGACTAAGATTTCAGACCAAGGTCTTTTTAAGTCCTGCCAGATGAGAACTTTCTAACTAGATGTTTGGGTTGAAAGCATGCAAGGCACATATTCTAGGTTGTATGCAGTGGATTGTATCCAATGTCAGTCTAACTTAAATTCCATTCATTTCATCAAGTGTACTCTAAAAATACTACAAATCACAGTACTGTGACCTTTCCATAAGGCATTAGCATTATTTCCCAGTTATCAGCTTAAAATACATACCTGAGTGCTGCTTAAAACAGATTTTTTGAAAATTCAGGGGAAATGGATTTATTTTATCCACGTGCATAGAAACTTTCAGTTTACATAATAAATCACAGAGCAGAATATCCCAGTACAGCTGCCAGGTAAAAATATGTATATAGAAATATGATTTGCATTTATATGCCTCCTAGATTCTTAACATTAATAGGAAATTATAAAACAAAACCTATATTGGTGTGGTATAATTAAGTAAAAATGATATACAAATATGAGCATCACTAACATAAGTTAGTAGACAGGTTTTATTTATGTACTGAACATGTATACCTCATCCGTGTTAAAACAATCCAAGGAAGCTAACAGTCAGAAAAATAAAACTATGAGAATGATAACATTACTCAGAGGAGAGTGATAACTTTGTTAAAGCCAGTGCTGCCTCTGGCTAAGGAATAAGGTGATCAACCATATTGAATGAGCAAACTGTTTGCCCTTTAAAAAGAATGACATATGCCATTGGCCTGATCCAAAGCTCTTGTGTGTTCAGGTGCTTCCTCCTACACACAATGAATTAGATTCAGAATTAAAGGTCTGTGAATGGAAGCGCTCTTTTGTTGGCTTAAGGACTTTGGCTCTAACAAGTGCTTCCCCGATCAAGTTGACAGGACAGTGATTTTTACTGATTCCTCCCTTCACTGGTAGCCCCCAGTATCACCTCATATACTGTTCTGGAGGGCCAAGCAACCTTCTAGAATAGATTTTTTGGCGGCTTTCTCCACCCCATCCACAGGATGAATCCAAATAACTAGAGTGCATGGGAAACCCAAATAGGGGACTTGTAGGTGCTGAATCATATCCTTCATATCTTCATTGCCGTTTTTAACAGGGGCTTAAGTAATGTCATACATGTGTAGGTGTTTGAATTTAATGTCAGAATTCAACAAAAGCATGTTGGCACACAGTATAAGATTGTCTAACTTAATATTTAAGAAGGGAATAAAAAATAACTTGCAGGATAACTTCAGTATTGAATCGTTGCCTAGATTTGAATATGCTAAATGTTAATTGGCCATTTATATATAGTTAGCATAACATAACTTTCAGATCATGTTCTGTTTAATGAAAACAAAGTAACTAATCTTACAAGAAAATGCTACTGTGTGAAGGTCTTAAGTTATGACCATAGTTTTCAATTATGCTGACATATGCCCTTGCAATAATTGGCATTTTTAAATTTTTATATATATATATATATATATATATATATATATATATATATATTTCTGAGAAATGCAAATGAATTCAGAGTTGGCTGAAAGCCAGTTTCTGAGCTCTGGTGCACGTTCAAAAAACCCCCTACTCACTTCCTAAGTGCCTTGTGAATCTGCAATGATTAATTCTTCTCATTATTTTGCTGCAAATTCTCATGACCCTCTGTGATGATTCGATCACCCACTTAGAGTTTATGCATATTCATATCTTTCCACTCATGGCTGCAGTTGTTCAAGTCTCCTTCACTGGCTATGGTATGCACTTGGTGCAGTAATTGAGCTGCAGTAGATTGATTACTCTAGGGAGCTGTAAGGCCTTTAAAGGTGAAAACATATCAGTCCTGTTAATTAGGAAACAAAGCTCTGGTGGCAAGTTCAGCAGGCAGATGCTTCTAGTGTAGAAATTAGGAAAGGTATGATTTGTTCCCTTCTGTGAACCCTGTTTACTTTTTAATACTTGAATTAGATTTGTGACCAGGCGTGGCAAACCTGAGTGGATGATAGCACATTTGTGTGATAATACAGAATTGGTATGTCAGAAGAATTTGATTTGCATTATTAGCTGTCTTTGTTATTATCATTAAAATCTTATGCATAATATTGTCTTTTAAATTCTCCATATAATGTTAAATGAGAGAACAGAGGCATTTCATGTTACATGTTAATTGGTTTCAATGCTAGGATTGATTGTAATTTGATGTAAATATTTCCTGTATGCTTTATGATATTTTGGAAAAGAATCTATTTTCTGCCTTAAGATAACAATATTCCACCATGTACAAGGTCATGTACAGATTTGTGTTAGAAATTCTAAGTATTCTCCCATATTGGAGGATTTTTAGTCTTTTAAAGAAGGGAGGAACTTCATGGTTTTTTTATTGATAATAAGTCTGTTGCTTACAAATCTATTGCGTATTGTGGAATCCAAACAAAAACTCATATAGCAAAACTTATTTTCAAAAGACTAAAATGGTAAAAAATAAAGAAACTATTGAAAGGTTCAGGACTATGGTTCTATTAGGGATCGATGGACATAATGCTGTGGTCAAGGATTATAGAAGTTGTAGTCCAAAACATCTGAAGGGTCCCCCTTGAAGTAAACACTACTGATTTATTTGGACAAATAATCTTACCTATGTAAAGCAGTGTTCTACACTTCTGTCAGCTCTGAAATTGAACACTTTATTACCACATAGCACTGAAGGGGGAAAGAAGGTCCCTGTAAAGTGCAAGGGCAAGGAGAAAGAGTTTTGTTTTTACACCTCATGACATACTTTCCTCTAGCCTCAAATACCCCCATCCTAATGAACAATCTGAGTTTTATATTATTATGGTGATTATTCCAAGTGCTGCAGAAAGTAAGCCTTCATTGAAATTAAACTGTATTAATGATATTTTTGACACTTATTTTGAACTGCAATAAATACTATGTTTTATTGATATATTGGGGAAAATCACTTTTGAGAGCAGAAGGGTGCACTTTTGGTATTTGCCTTTGAGAAGCTCATCCTTGTGCAGCATCTAGACTATTTTTGTATGCACCCCCCACCCCAGTATATCTGCTAGTTTTTAACTAACTTGGTATGTGAATGTTCAAAGCATAAAGGTCACTTAAATGCTAATACCCATAAAAACATCTACCCTGGGAAATTAACAGGCACCATGTTTAAATAGGGTGAAAAACTAGGTGCTTTTTGTGCTAAATTTATGAAATTTGTATATTTGTTGTGAAGAATACAGGTTATGGTGAGATGGTCCTTTATCTTAGGGTTTTCCCAAATAAAGTACAACAGATTGTTGGGCTTAAGCTGATCCAAACATGAACAGTCACTTCAGTAGTTCACTTGCTTGGAGTGTTTGAAGCCATACTACCAAGGATGCCTCCTTTCATTCCAGCTCTGTAAATATTAAACTGGAAGGAATTTTGAATTTATTTCTCAAAGCAAATATCTTAAAGAACATTGTACACTAACATTGTAACACAATGGGTAGTGTAGGAAAAATTTCTTGAGAAACAAGATGTGCACAGGCTTACAAATAAAAATCAATAAAGTCAGTCTAACTTAGCTAAGTATATTTTATCTGCTTGGGTAAAATCTTGGGTTTCAGAGAATTTGTGAAGTTCTGTTCAGAAAAGATGGGCTAATGGAAAGCATAATTCTAAACAGTAAAAGCTGGCCTCTCAATAGAAGTAGCCACTGTGTCCAGTATTAGCTCCATCTCTGATATTAGTAATTAGTAATAATTGGCCAATCGGAAATGTATTGAGAGGTTTTTTCCAGCTCCATGATAAATCTGTCTTACACAGAAGGTTTAACCAGTTTCAACAAGCTGGGATTTTTTATATAAGAAGGAAAAGAAATAATAATACTTGTGGGACCCATATGGTGGGGGTAGGAGGGGCCACAAGCTGCCCACCCCTGCTGTAGATGCCACTGTTGGATTTAGGATTTGTTGCATCATACTCTTGAATGATTTCAAATGTTTAAATTTATTTTTCAGGCATTTATTAATACAGCAAAGGAAATCTATGAGAAAATACAGGAAGGCGTCTTTGACATTAATAATGAGGTAAGGTTTTGGGGTGTTAAAATCCTGCCTATAAATATAAAACAAAATAGCAGAAAATTGATACATAAGAGTCAACTTATGTTTACTTCTTAGTCTGGAATTGCAACTTGTAGCCCTATAAGTACAGAACTACAGCTAGAGCTTTGTATATAACCAGTAGTGAGGGATCATGGAAATTGTAAATCCAGGTTATCCATCCCCATCTTAGACTGAAGGGTGTCTTGCACCAGGCCTAGTTCAACAAACTGAAAATATTCTATACTTCTAGTAGACACATCCTCAGTTTCATTTAGTATCGTGATTAAAGTGGAGTATAAAACAATTCTGTCCATTCATGAATTGACAATAAACTTTGAGAGATATTTCATATTTATTTCTCCATACAATATCAACGACTTTCAGAAATGTTTTTTACCTGTGTAAACTGTCTGTCATGTGTATTGTTGCCATAATGAACTAGAGATTTGGGATTCTTACTGAAACCTGGAAAAGTGTAACTCTGAAATAATCACATTTCAAAATTTGACATTATTTTCTTGTGTAACACCAAGCCCAGCTCCATGCACCTTTCTCTACTAGGCTCAGCATTTTTCATTTTTATTAGGGCCTTATAAGAGGAATATATCATCATCAAAATCGTATAACTTTTCTCTGATCTAGATTCCTTAAAGCTATGGGTAATCCTTGCTAGTTCATTTTTCATGTCCCTACAGTCCCTTTCATATCACCTCTGCTTGGGCGGAGGGTAGGCACAGGATCTGGCCATACTAGGAAAATAAATAAATAAATAAATAGCCATTTGCCAACAGCTCTCCAACAATTTCAAATGACCAATTAGAATTTGATTTTTCAGTACCAGTAAAGTTAGGCTATATTACAGGTCATTCATCACTGAACTCATGAACATAGACCATTTGAGTAATCTGTGGCCAGCAGAAACGATTTCAAAAATGTATATATACTTTTATTCTGGTAAGGCTTAGTTGCCAGTATTTCACTGGGTAGTCTTTGAGAATTTTTTTTATGTCAGGGGTTAGAGTTGAAGATTTAAAAAAAGATATATACTACACCAATCCTGTAGAAGATGAATGTATAATGCCTGGCAGATACATCCTTCAAATTGCCATTCAGAATTAACAGGATCACTCATTCCTATTAAACTTCCTTTTTATTCTGTCTCGGCAGAATAAATTGTCCAGGTAAAGACCAGAATTATTATAAACAGCTCCAAATTAGTTTTTCCATACTAGGTATTTAAATCCCATTCCAAAATAATATGAGAACTGACATTCAGAATTTCCCAAGGCAAATTCCAAAGATGAACACATGTCTTGGGGAGACAGCGATGAATTCTTTGCTGGAACAGAAACATTTATAGAGAAATACCATTAGTGGTAATGTGCAACATCAACATGTTATTGTGCAATCGTGATTCTGTCATTTAGCAACTACCTTCTAATTTTATGGAAATAAACTGCCAACACATCACAGCAACTTCTTTTATGGCATCCAACAGCAGCTTTAGAGAATGCCCCTATAACCCTGCAATTGTAAACAGGAAACATCCTCCACCCAAGTTTCTTGTAAAAAAGAAAAAGAAAGAAATCTGAATTTATTGTAGATATATAATGAACTCTTTGTCCACTGTGCCATTTGGAAATATTCCAAGATGGTATTTCTAAATCTAGAAATTTTTTCAACCCTTCTGCCACTTAGTCAGCAGTTTACAGAAACTGGGGGAGATTGGAGGGTGGAGCTAATATCTGAGAGAGGAGTTGCCCCTGTGTAGGAGAAAACTACTGAAGTAAGGACAGTGCAGTTGTCTCCCATGAGATTAAACAGAATGTCTTGCAGGAAAAATAGACCCCAATGGATAATTCCTGTGCCTTTGGTGGTAAAAGTTTAAATCATGCTAACAAAGCAGCTTCATTGGGGTAGTGGTGGGGAAGGAATTATTTTTCCAAGGCAGCCAGTCCTACATGCAAATGCAACTTGAATGGAGATTCACTTTGCCCTGTACCCTGTCCCTGTCATTCTGATGGTAATTTAGAAATTCCTGGATAGGGCACAAATTAAACAGTAGCTTCTCTTGTTCAAATGTAGTCAAGCCCTAAAAATGCTTCACCAATTCCACTACTACTTCAGAAAATTAATCCTTTTTTATCTGCACCTGTAAATAAGGGACATTGCTCTGGGTGAAAGCAATGCAACACAGCCTGCTCCATGGGCTGACTGAGAAATTATATTTCTCACAGATTTGTAAAATATTTGCTGCCTGTGTAATCCTAATCCAGAGTTACCCACTCCAGTGCATTGTTCATGGAATCTCTGATTCCATAATGTATTTTTCTCTCCTTCAAAAATTACTTTTGGAGATTCCCTGGGAACCAAACCAGGATGGGTTTAGTAACATCCCTGAAATATCTGTTGACCAATATCACTTTCCTTTCTGGCACTGATCTTTCCTTTAGGACATAATTGATAGTGCATATGTCTGCAAATTACACCAAAATTCTAGCACCTAAGTATTCTGCTTGCATTGTATTTGGGAAATAAGGTCCTTAAGACCAGAATGACTCACGACCTGGAGAAAATCATCTACCTTATTTCTGTTAGTTGAGCAAACCTTGGACAAATCAAAGATTAAATAGCTGCTTAATCACATCAAACTACAGTGATTTTTCACATGCAGTGATGTGCTCTTGTTTCAAGACTAGACTAATTGCACCTGTATACTGAATTCCTGAGTTATTTTGGGATAGATAACTTCTGTTTCCTCCCTTTTGGGTACTTTCCCTGTGTCATCAGCTTGTCCTTCATTTCAGCATTCTGACTAATATCTGACATTGTTAATGGTGATTTAAAATTTAACTCTTTTGCCTTCTTGAGAACATTTGCTTAGTGCACTAACTTGCCAGCTCCTGCTATCCAACTTTGATCAATGTTTGATTTTTCCTCTTGGGAACATTTTACTATGATTTTTATTACTCCTCAGTTCCCTGCCTCAGTTGTGTTTTGAGACTGTAACACTGTCTTAGCTGCTTCGCAATTTAGCAAGCTTGCCTTCTCAACAAGGACACTCAGATGAGGCAGCAGGGAGGCAAAAAAGATGATGATTTGTCCAAAGAGAGCTCTGAAATGGAGCTTTCCTCCTCTGTATCTGTAGGTGGTAGTTCTTCATTTTGGTCTCTGTGCACCATACATATGGGCTCTATACCTGCATGGAGTCTATTGAAGTGAAGATTTCATCGCTGAGAGCATTTTGGTGGGATTCTCTGACTCTGGTATATATGGGAAGAATTTCTTCTCTCTCTGACCACTTTTGTGGATGTCTCAGGAGGTTCTTTTTCTCTATTTGTTAGCTTAAGTGTTTTTCTCCAATTTCTCCTCAAAAACTTTATATACCTGCTTCATTTTTTCTCCTTTCTAAAATTTCTAAACTGTTGCTTGTTTACCCTTCTTCCACAAAAAGAAACCCTTTTTGTCTTCCTCATGATCTGTCTCTATATCTGCAAAGCATCTACCATTTACTCCTTCCTCTTAATTTGCCAGTGGCATCTAAGACACTTTTTCATAAATGTGTAAGACATGACAGCAATCTCCTGCCAGCTGATGGGAATTTACTATGCCTCTTTTGCTTGGCCAAGGGACATGTCATTGATCAATTCCCTCACTGCCAGGTTTTCCCAACACAGGGCTAAAAGTATAGGGCAGATCACCTTTGTGTGGAGTTTTGGAGCAATATGTTCCAGGCAATGAATGCCAACAAGCGCCCAGAGATAAGCCATCCTTCTGTTCCTGAGTCTTCATGCTTGCCTCAGTCCGTGATTCCTGTGGCTACAGCTCTATCCTTGGGCCAGTCTACACAGCCAACAGCAGGGAGATCTCAAAGGCAAAGAAGTTGGCTAAAATAGACAAGGAGGTGAAGTTGGCAGAGGCTGCAAAAGCAAAGGGCCACAAGCGGCACTCAAGGCAAAACTGTCCAGACTCAGCAAGAAGGGAGACTTTGATGCTAAGTGCTATAGAATCAGGACCACAGGTACTGAGGCTGAAACCTAACTTGACTTTGCTATTGGAAGAGTGTCTCTACCTGCTCAGCCCCCTTCTGACGTCTTGGTGCTATGACAGCTGATCACTTCCTCTCCATGACATTGCCAGCCCATTACCAGATCCAACTGCTGCAGGGAATGATCTATACGATAGAGATAGACACTCAGACAGGTGTGTTCCACTTCCAAACCAAAGATCTTATGGTGCATGGGGGTCACCAGGAACCCTTCTATGGAGCTCTATCCATAGCCCTTTGGAAAATGGAAGCAATCCTGTGAAGAGGATCTGTTGCTCAGAACACCACAAACTGCTGTGGAGACCACAACAGCTAGCTTCTGTTCCTGTGGATCTTCAAGGACCCCCAGAGTGTACCTCCTCTACAATGCCAGAACACCAGTCATGATTTCCTACCTGTATGCATGCCAGACTGCAACTACCCTTTCATTTGGATATCAAAGGCTATGATTAGAGCTCCACCTGTTACTCTTCAGTGGCCCAGGATCCCACCTCTGTATCAGCAGACATGGGCATCTGAGGCCAAAATTCATCATTGTGGAGTTGGCCCATGGAAGGTCACATTGTAAGTACTGTGCACCAGTGAATTAAAAAGGACAATGCCTAGATGCATTGTGGAGACACATTTACTCATCAGCAGCTCTGAGAATCCAAGTAGCTACTTACCAGGGTACTATGGTGAGATGGCAGTTTTTCCTTTAGAAAAAAAATCAGCTGCCTCTCTGAACATCTGCTTAAGAACCAAAGGGAACTTGGCCAGGTGTTTCAGTCTGAAGCAATGCATTTCTCCCACCCTCAAATTTGCACTAGGCAGACTGCCATGGAAAGACCTTGGTCGGCATGGTGGTGCTACAGAGCCATGCCTGACTATGTTTGATCTGTCACAGGAAGCCTGCTCCCATATGAAAGCCCTGCCCTTTGATTGGGGGGAGCGGGGAGCTTTTCAACATGAGGAGCATATGAACTCTCTCCAGAAGGCAGGGACTATGGTGAGAAGGATGGGGCTCCACCAACATGAGCTGTCAAAACCATGTAAATGGTTTGGAGCTGGCCAAGCCTCTTTCTAGTGGTGAGTCCATGTGGATCAACAGTCTCAACAGCAACTGATGTCACATTTAAGGCACATAGACGACCCTAATAAATATTGTCAGGGGCAGAAGTGCTTGGATGCTGACTGAAGGCAGTGGTGATTATGTCCCTGGGTTGCCCCCTTTTCATTTGACAGATGTATCCCTTCCCTCCCTCCTGCATATAGAGAACAATAACTACAGATGCCTAGATTCTATCCAGTGTGGACAGAGGCTACAGGATGAAGTTGAACACCCTCCTGCCTCTTGGTGCCATAAGGAAAATGGTTCTATCTCCAGCCTTAATTGCAGAAGTAGACTCACTATTTTCAAAGTGTGTGATAGAGTGGGTCCCCTCCTCTGAAGTCCATAACGGATTCTACTCCACATATTTCACAGAACTGAAGCGGAATTGAGAGCTCCAACCAATCCTAGACCATAGGGACCTCAACTCCTTGTATCAAAGGAGTTTTAATTGGTCACCTTACAAAATAACTTCCCTTTGCTGCAAGAAGGACATTGGTTTGCCTCCTTAGACCTTAAGGACAACTGCTTTCATATCTCCATTCAGCATTCACAGAGCACTTTCTACTTTTCTGGATTGCAAAAGAGACTTTCCAAGTTTTTGGTTTTGCCCTTCAGTTAATTTATGGGTGCTAGAGTGATTACAAAGTGTATGGTGGTAGTGTGTGTGCTCACTTACGCCTCCAAGGGGTCTAGTCCTACCCATCCCTGATGAATGGTTTACTGTGACCCCTTCCAAAAAGGACCACCTTTGTTTGCTCCACACTACCTGCACTTTGCTAGATAATCTGTGTATAAACATGGAAGAATCTAAACAGTTAGATTATGTACTGCCCTGTAGCCAAACCTCTCTGGGGAGTTTGCAACAATAATAAATAAAAATTAAAATGAAATAATAAAATATAGTACAAATAATACATGTTTTACCTTCCTAGTCAATCCTGTACATTGGGGCACATCTAGACTCTATCTCAGCAGCCACGTTTCTTCCAAGGACGAAACCATTGATACTCATTCACATGGCTACTAAGTTATGCAGACAATTTGTTGTCACTACCTTCCAGAGCCAACGCCGCCTCAACATCATGGTGGCTATGGTTGAAGTTTTGTCATTTGGCAGACTTTGGATGCATCCACTGCAGCTCTGGTTCATCCATATTTACCTCCCTCTGGACAATCCTCAGCAGATGCACTTTTGAATGTTGAGACCAATCTGATCCAGAGCTGTCCCCAAGAATGGCACCAGAAGGAGTATAACATTGGTGCCAAGCGGACCTCTCTGGGGAGCGCATTCCACAGTCTGGGCGCCACTGCGGAGAAGGCCCTCCTCCAGGTAGACACCTTCTGTACTTCCTTCAAAGAGGGTTCCTGGAGCAAGGCCTCCCCTGCTGATTTTAAGGGTTGTGAGGGCATATAGGGCAGGTGGAGGTCCTTCATGTATTCTGGACCTTTGCCATTTAGGGCTTTATAGGTTAATAGCACCTTGAATTGGGCCCGGACTTTAATTGGGAGCCAATGTAGCTGATAGAGAACCAGCATTATATGAGAATGACTGGCCCCCATCAGCAACCTGGCAGCTCTATTTTGTACCAATTGAAGTATCTGGACCATTTTCAAGGGTAGCCCCGCATAGAGTGTGTTACAGTAATCCAACCAGGAAGTTACCAGGGCATGAATCACTGTTGCTAGGCAGTGCTTGTCCAGGTAAGGACGCAGCTGATGGACCAGCAGAAGCTGGAGGAAGCTCCTTGCCACCACCATCACCTGGATTTCCAGGGATAGCTCTGGGTCAAGCAGCACTCCCAAGCTGCGGACCTGTCCTTTAGGCGAAGTGCTACCCCATCCAGGAAGGAAGAAGATGAGCAGCTCAGGAAGGAGTGTGTTATTCATTTGTCACAGGTATATAACAACAGGCAATCAATGCTCACTCTCCTATTCCTATCCATTATGAGTGGCAGAGTAAATATTTGAAATAAGACTTGTATAAAATTTTGCTATTCATGACAGGCTGTAATTCTATATGTGATGGCATGGAAATAAAGCTAATGTAACTTGGGGATTTACTTTCAAGTAAATATGTATAAAATTTAATGGTTAAATGGCAAAATTACATATGTACAGATTTTTTTCTTCATTGAGAAATATGAAAGCAGATTCAAATAAACAGGTATACAGACCTGTACACTGTCGATACTTTCTTTAGTTCATGTGCATTGCATCAATGCATACTGAGATCCCTATGGTTTCATCTATAGGCCACTTGTTCAAATTGAGAATTAGGGTGCCAGTGAGGTTGTCATAATCCTCCAAACTCAGAAGATTTATAGGTATCCAATCAAGCATGGAGGCCTACTCTTTTTCTGCCATTCAAAAGACATGGACAGTCAATTTTTGCTACTTGTGTAATTTGTTCCTACTCTCCCACTTCAACAGCAGAACCATTCCACCCTCCAGAATGTTCCCCTTAGTGCTGGCTCCAAAGACAGTTGGCTGTAAGGGTGGAGGGCACTTCACCATTGGAATCCCTTATTGAACCTTGGAATGCATTTCCAAGGTTGAAACTGGAACTCCAACCTAGCCTATGGCTGTCTGGACCATGCCTACTAGCCCATAGGATTGTGCTCTAAATCTGTTAGGGAACTCATCACTGGGATCAAATGAGCCACACAATTTGTTTGAAATGTTCTCAGATTTCCCTTTTTCCCAGCTACTGTGGACTCTGTAAAATTTGGGAAATTACCCAGAGTTGTTGGGGAGGGTTAGGTAGACATGAGTAAAGTATGAATTTAATTAGGCTGTGGTTAGTTATTTGAATAGTTTGTGTCAAAGATTATTGTTTGATGACATGACATCACCATATAAATTGCTCATGGTGAATATTCAAATCAAATATGCCTGCATGGCTTAAGAAATTGCATTTTCTATCTGGAAAGAATGGCCAGAAATCCAAAAAGACTTATTTGAATGAAATATTCAGCTTGAAAAATTATGTGGTGAAATCACTGTGAAAAGTAATCAAGGCTTTCTGTTCAAGTTTATCTAAACATCTGAGGCAAATGGCATCTTTTGAAAACTAAGATTTCATAAAACAAAGTCTGCAACTTTACAAGTTATATCCATTAATATTAAACTTGTGTTGTGCTATTACTATTCAGCTCCTTCTGCAAATAAAAGGGGTCTCTTTGTATGATATATTGTAATCTTTCCTGGCACGCTGGGCATCCTGCTCCCTGTGCCTGTTTACAGAGGTCTGAAAAGCAGGAAACTCTTGAATTCATGTGAATAAGGTATGATAGGGCTTTAATTTATTAGGAATGGCCGTGTGCTCATGTTGAAGATGAACATGGGAAGGGAGGGTTACTTGTACACACACAGACACCCCTAAGAATTTTAATCCAGATTTTTTTTTGTAAATCAGCAATCAGTGATATAGATACTTGACAGTGATCTTGGCCTCTGGAAAAGCATGCTAGCTGTATCTGTCAAGTTTCATATAAAATCTGCCTACCTTACTGTTACTTTATGGAGATTTGATTGCAATATGCAGTCAAGCGCCAACAGTGCATACTATTTACTTGGCTCAATGCCAAGTCTGGCTCCTTGATTCCTCAAGAAGTTGCTACCAGCCCAAAGGGGGCAAAACCAATGAGCCATAGGGCATGCTTTTTATTAAAGAGGAATCAAAGAGCGAAAAGAAACCACATCAGCTGCTGTCAATATTAAGCTAGTGCCAGAAACCCCAAGGCTACTACTGTTGCAGAACAACTGCCAAGCACTATAAATCTGAGATTTACTGTGACGCAAAGTTTCCTTAAGAGCTTAATTTCTGAAGCTACTGTATTACTTTTCTTAAAGTGCTGTATTTTAGGTAAAATCCACTTGAGGGAGTGAGGGTTAAGATATAAGTGTGAGTTTGATGAATGAAAGAACTACGCTGTGTGTGGTTCTTGGCAACTTGCCATTTCTTTGGGGATCATAGAAATTATTGATGACACAGAACACTTGTATGCCCTTAGCCTGTACAGCTGACTCAACATAGTAGGAAATACAGTCAAGAGAGGAAAATGTTTGGCTGCGTAAAACCAGAAGAAATGTGAACTTTGTTTTTGTCTCTTGGAGGGGCCAGAACTTATTAGGAAAATTAAAGATTTCTGCCTTTATGATACAGTTTGAAACTCTTTTATTTATACTTGTTGCCCATGCCAGGAGTAGGCAACCTGGTGCCCTCCAAGTGTTTTGGATTGCAGCTGATCATTGGCCATGTGAGCTGGAGTTTGAGACTTGTAGGCCAAAACATATGGAAGGTACCCGGTTGCTACATACATTCACAATAGCAGTGATAGACTGCAGAATTCTTCTTTAGATATATGATGAACAATTGAAGAAATATAGCAAGAGTCCTCTCCTTGATGTCATTTCCTTAATTGCTACCAGACAGTGCTTTTAATAATATTCCCCCCACAGCTAGATTATCATGAAATAAGGCAACTTGTTTTAGCCATTCATAAATCAGAAATAGGTTAACCACTTTCAAATGTTGTAGCCTGCAGCAGCATTTCGAAATAATAATGTGAATTCAATTTTTATTATTTCAGGCAAATGGCATTAAAATCGGCCCTCAGCATGCTGCTACTAATGCAACACTTGCAGGCAATCAGGGAGGACAACAGGCTGGCGGAGGCTGCTGTTGAACATATTTTTACTTCCTAGCTGCCTGATGGGGCCTACTAACTTGTTTCACCCTTCCCTGCTCAATTTCAACTACGACATGAAATTATTGTAAGATGGCATCATGTTGCAGAAGACTTTATTCTTCAAATTCTTGTACAACTTTGAATAAATGGTTAATGTTCACTTAAAGACAGGTTTTGGAGATTGTATTCATATCTATATTTCCATTTACTTTCCAAGTCAATTGATGTGATTATTTTTGTTAAATGTGTGTTGTCTTGTGCCCTTGCCTACGAACTGTATTAAACACTACAACATCATCTATTTTAATCAGTTTGTGTATTTAGGTTACCTGACTACTGTGGTTACCTAATGTTTAATATTGTAGAACTGTCCTCAACTTTTGTCCATTTTCAAGGCTCTGAAGAAAAAAGGACTCAATTCTGTATTTATCATTTATTTCTGTATATATAGTTTAATAACCTGCTTGGGTGTATTTGCCAAGCTTTAATTCTTTAATGCATTTGCATAAATTCTATACATCTAGAGCTTGGAACTACAGAAGCATTGTTAGAAATGGCTTAGATGCTGTATTTTAAATCTTATTGACAAGTTAGCATGTTTGTCCTCTTGTCATTATCCTAGAGTCCAAAAAAGAAAAAAAATGCTTTATGTATATTATTACAAGCTACATATGCGTTACCTATTTTAATGCCAAATGTTTGCTATTTGCTGACAACTTTCACAGCACCTCTTCAGAAATGGATTAGCTGTATGCCTTAATTATGTAGGTTAAAACATATAATTAATGAAAAATACAGGAAGCATTGAAACTCATGAAAAGGTATATTATGAGACTTTAATATTTCTTAAAACATTATTTTCTTCCATCTCTAGGTATATTTTCATCAAGGACAGTTTTTCAACGTAGATGTACAGTGACTGTAATTTTTTTTTTTAATTTTGGATTTTTTCCCTTTTTTTGTGACAACTTGTAATCTTAATATGGTCAGCATCTTGTCTATTGTGAAGGGGGTGTGACAATAAAACTGCCAGATTGAAAATCCTGACAAAAACAAAAATTGGAAATGCTTTAGTACTCTATTTTACATAAAAAAAATATTTTCATTGTGCCCATGCTTCTAATGAATTAGTTTACCACACTGCAAAATAAATTCCTGTTTAATAATATATTCAGAGAATATTCAGAATAGATGGAACTATTGTTTTTGGAACACAACCTGTGTTGCTGAGTTTCTAAAAATTCATCACTTTCTGCTTCAATTTAGTACCTGGAGGTAAAAGCATGCTCCGATTGGATATATTCAAAAAGACAGGGAATGACTATCTCCCAACTCTAGGTTGTTCTGGTGGTCATTCAGTAACAAACATTTTTATCCCATGCCTTCCTCTAAGAGTCTCAGAGCAAGACTTTTTGTTCAAGAACTTGGCAAGAACATAGACTTCTCTGAAAGAATGTAGTTTGCCCTCATTGAGGGGCATCCAGCTCCATTTATGCTGACCTACAAAGCATTGTGTAAGAAATGCCTTAAAATATTAATACAAAACAAATTGATGCTGGTTGAAGATGATAATTTTCATAATATCAGGGCCCACCATTTGTTAATTTATTTGCAGAGGCTGTTACACTGGGCTGAGCATCTGGCTTGCTATGGATTCCATGTCATGTGAATCTAGGTTGCAGGCTTCAAATAACTCTAAAACATGCATGAGCTATTTGAAGATAGTGTAACCCTCAAACAATTCCTGCTGTCTGCATTTGCACAGTACAAGCTGAGTGTCATGCAAAAAAAGCAACTGGTACAGTGTGACAGCTTCCATGGATAAGTGAAGCAATGATTGGCTGTTGTGTCATATGAACCAGACCAGTGATGCCTGGTTGATTCTAGCCTGCTATTCTTGGTTGCAGAATTACCCAATAATATTTAGTATAGTATTCTGCTCTGTCATGAATTAACAAGTGTTTCTTCACTGGGTGATAGTGAAATTACATGCCAAGTTACAACAAACTAACTGCAAGGAACCAAGTGGGTTGACCATGAAAATTTCTTGACCTAGTTGCTCTCTATAGTGAAATATTCTCTGTTGCTGACAAAAATTATGTGGCAGTATATACAAACTGTATGCTTTCTTAGGGCATAATTCTCTTTACTGCTCTACAAAAGTTAAGAACCATTGATTCTGAATAATGGCAAATGGTGTGACCAAAAGCATGCACTTAAATCTCTTCCACTGAAAGACAATTTTACTTCATTAATGCATCTTTTCTTCAAGGAGCTTAGGCAACTGTTTATGATTCTTCCCCTACTTACTTTATCTTCAAACAACCCTGTAATGTAGCCTCAGACTGAGCGAGCCAAAATCACCTAGCAAGCTGGGTGAATATAAATTTGAAACTAAATCTGCCTGGGCCTCATTTAACCTATTTGCCACTGCAGTGTGCTAACTCTGTGTCTCCAAAACTGACAAAGGATAATAGGTATTCTCAAATTCGTAGTCTATAGCAATATGGCAGACAAATATAAGTGCCCAGTACTGCCAGACAGAGACTTGTGAAATGTTGTAGAACATAAAGCTACACTGTTGTTCATCACATTCTACATATGTTTTGTTTTCTTCATTTACACTGATCTTAATGTCATCAACAACTATTTTATTCTGATACATTGCACTGCATCTTCTACATTGTTACATATTGACAAATCTTTGGTTTTGTATAAAACAACATTTCAGGCATGACAGTTTTAATGTGCTTGATACAGTGTTTCTGGGTGCAAGAGTAAAGGAAACTACTTAGATTATTGCAAATACATATGTAGTACATGTCCTTTATGATCATAATCCATAGGCTTCTAAGACATGGAAGAAAAATGTACTATGCCATAGATAACATGAAATTCCTACATTTACCTAAATGTGTGCATTCTGTTTCAGTGTATATTCATTTTTTCACCTTTATGTCCCCCCCCCACCCCACCAATATAGCAGATATACTATGCTATATACTGTGGCTTTAAGAGATGCCGAAAATACATTTGGTTGTAAGAGGACTTGGATATGCTATTGGAAGTGAGATCAGTACACATACTTGACTGCTCCCATAGTAAGGTAGGTAATAACAGCTAGTAACAGCTGCCAGATATACTGGCTCCATATTACTGCACAAAACCTTTCTCATGATTTTATAAAGCTTCTGTAGAAAGGGGTGCACCAGTTGAGGTGATCACTAGGGAAATTGTGCAGTTGGAGGTTTGCAGGGAAAGAACAAGTGGCATTTTTCTTTCGTTGTCATGATTCAGAGGTGACACAGTGCTTATATTTTCTTAAAAGCAATTGCTGCTAAATTGGATTAAACTTCTTGAATAAATATCAGTTTCCTATTTTTACACATTTATTAAAGAAGGCACTCAAGGCAGCTCAGAAACATTACATTTTCGTATTGAGTAAATATGCTTACAAATACTATGTATTCCAGTTGTCAGAAATCTTTTATGAGGAAGCTTATGTACATGTGTTCATGTACAGTTCCTTTCTCACTGGCTGAGGTGTAGAGTTCCTTTCTGCTACATTGTAACTTTGTTAATAGTATACCCTGCTAATTTTGTTTTATTGTGGTACTGAAGTCTCCGTCTGTAAATAATTCTTGTCCGTACTATGTAAGTAGCTGATGAAATGTCTTTACTAGGTTTGCTGCGCATGAAAGAAACCACATCATGTGGTAATAAAAACTACTAACAGACTCTTTAACAAAGCCAAGACCATGACAAAAAGCAGCATGTTATGGATCTATCACTTCCATTCTTGGGACAGATTTTATTATTTTTGGACCTATTACAAGCCCTATGTTAAATATTGTGGATGATAAGAGGAAACAGACTCTTGGCAAATGTGGAAAACCAATTACAGTATATTACCCTATTCGGGCTGCAATAAAGGAGGGTCTGAGGCAGAGGTTTATTCCCTGCATGCTCTAGCCACTCAAATTCTGTACGATTGGCTTGAGTTAAAAGAAGATTACTATGAAAACTTCATTGCACACAGTATTGGCTGGAGAGGTAAAATTACATCACTGAGTGGTGGTATAGATCTGTCAAGTTATGTTTGCATAAAGAAAGCATGATTCCTTATAGATATGTTAATTTAAAAAAAATTAAAGGCATCCTTGCATACACAACCAATGAACTTAGCCTTTCTGTGTCACCATGAGAAGACATGAAAATGTACATTAGAAAACCATAATAGTCAAAGATGAACTTTTAATGGTTACTTTTTAAAATATTGATGATGGCTTTAATGGTTGATCTGGTGGACCTTTTCAATTTCGATAGGAAATAGTTTTTACTTTAAGAAGCCATTCCCACACCTTTTTCCAGCACATCCACACTCAGTTAAAGCAAGCCTGAATCAAAATGTTGGCAGTGCTGAGTTTGATAAAGGAGAAGGGTGGTGAGAGTATAGGATGAACTGTGCATTGAGCAGTTGTGTTTGGGGGCCCATCGCACCCCCTATAATCAGGGACTAGGGACAGAGACCTAGCAATTTTCCCGTAGACCCAGAGCTCATCCTGACCTTGTACTCAGGTTGTGGATGCAGGAAAGTTACTTCTTGTTTAGCCTCACCAGTTTCTTTCTTGCAAAATGGGTGTTTTGTGATTGTCCCATCATGGTATCTATTTTGTGATGACACTTTCTGAATATTTAAGATGAGCTCACAAAACATTGCAGGTTCCTGGTGCAGAGATGCCTTAGCTCATGGGAAGTGATGTGCTGGCCCCAAATCACTGAATGGTTATAGATTAGAGCAGGCTGTTGAGCACTGATGTGATGAACAGCAAATCCCATAATTTACCACCTCTCATGTCAAGAGCACCACAGAATCCAAAAGTTTGCATTCTAAATATTATTATTATTATTATTATTACATTTCTATGCCGCCCCTTGCCGAAGCCTCGGGGCAGCTTACAACACAACTTTCTTTAAAGACTAATAAATCCAGTAAAGATGTATTTCTTTGATTTAGACTAATTATTCCCTGCTTCTCTTAAACAGTCACATGTAAAATGGCAGAAACCTACTTGCCCTCCATTCTTTGTACTTTCCAGTAGTCAAGAGTAACACTTAAGTACAAAATTGCGTACTATGATACATGAGCAAATATTCCATGTGCCAATATTGTTCCTAAAGAAAGACTATTCAGCTGACAGGCATTTAGAGTCTTCCATCCTGAGAATCCTGCACATGTTTAGAGAGAGAAAAAGTCATACAGCTCTTATCTATTTTTAAAAACTTATATACCATCCATCAGTCAGAGAGGCTCTCTGGGCAGTTCACAGGGGTGGTTCCTGTGGGAGACAGAGGGGTTTTTTTCTCTGTAACTGTGCATAGGATTAGAGGTAACATAAATGACTGCCAGGAATATATCACATGCACAACAGCATAAGAAACTCTTGCATTACATTAATGCATTTAATACAAACTGAAATTTAATAATTTAAAATTATCCAAGCTCACAACATTGGTAGAATCCCCACTTTCCCTACTATTATGCAATGAAAAGGTGAAGGTTCCTCCTTTTGCTATGTTTGCCTTCTCTTGGTTTAAGTAGCAAAAGTGAGTTTAAAGGGAAATCAATTAACAGATCAATTCTATGCGTATCTTCTCAGAAATAAATCCCATTGAATTCAAAGACATACTCCTAACTAAGTGGATACAGGATTGCAGCCTAAATTATTTTAAATCAGTTCCACTTAGGGATTGGTGCTCCCCAGGAAATTAATTCTGTGAGCGAATTGGAGAGATTAAAAGATCGTGCAGGTGTAAGCCAAAGCTCTGCTGGGATTTGCCAGATTGACATGGGTTCAAATCTTAAAACCACATTGCTTTAGGCAAAAATATTTTGGCTTCTATTTTACTCCTACGAAGTGAGGAGAAAAGTGAGTCGCTTCACCAAACTAAGAACGTGAGAGTGGTGCAAGATGAGGCCCAAGCCCTATCCAAATCAACGTGCTGTCCCATGGCAGCCAACTAGATATCCCAAGGACGCTCACAAGCAGGGCAGGAGT